TCCTCCAATCGATGCAGACATCGAGCCGGGGATCCGTCCCCTCCTCCAGCTCCCAGATGATCTCCAACATGTCCTCACGTTTGTCCTTCAGCCAACCAGCCATAGAAATCGCTCCCCCTTCGACCTCTGGCTCCGCTTGCAGCAGCAAAGATATGTCCCTCACAATCTCCTGTAACCATCTGCATCCTTTCTCCAAGGTAATCAGCCATTCGTTCGGTCCAAGATGATGTAGCTCCCTCTCCAAAAGCTCCTCCATGGCAGCCATGGCTCGCTCAAAGAACAGAGCCGCTATTGTACAGTAACCTCCAATCAATCACGGATGCCGCTTCCCCTATTCACGGGTCACGAGGTGTCCGCGCCACCAAATGACAGGTGACACGTGGCAAGCTGAAAGCCACGGCCACGTGTCAGGCGCGTGCACAGGCCCAGCGGCCTGGGGGGAATCACCTCTCCAGGACGCTGGTCAAGCCGGGTGCGGCCAGGCCTCGCCGGTCGGCCGGCGTTAGGGCGCTAGAGCTAGCGCAGTTCTCTCCTTGCCTCAGCAGATCACTGTTTTCTCTGCGCATTCGGGGAGATCTCGCTTGACAAGCGCAATCCAACTCCATCATCAAAAAAAAAAAAAAAAAAAAAAAATTGACCCTGTTTTGGGCCCAACCAAATTTAAGGTTGGAAAACTGGGGTTCCAACCGGCCCCATTGGATCCAGTCCGGTCCAACCGGCCGGTGGCCGGTGCAGCCCTGCTTTTCTCATCCTTCTTCATATCCTTGTTTACAAAATACTTCACGAATCATTAATGCCATGCCAGCGAACATTTCCTCCACTTTATCCAAGGCGGTAACCTAGGAATGGCGAGGGGCATTTCCTCGTATTGGCTCTCCATACTTCGCCCAGAGGGCGAAACATGTTCTTAAAATTATATCGCCCTTACACACCATCATGTATCCTACACCCATGAGTTTTCCTGATTCTCTTTGTTGATGGTCAAAATTGCAAAAGAAGCTTTTTTATCCAATGCCTAGGACAGCTGACCCCCAGTAAATCGGCCGTTGCCAGTAGCCTAGCTGGCTACATCATGTATCCTAGATCATGTATCCTAGATCATGTATCCAATGCCTAAGGCAAGTGCTCTCGCAAACCGGCGGTTGCCAGTAGCCTAGCTGGCAGAGTACTGGTGCTTCAAACCCCTGCATGGATAAGGAGGGCCTACCAAACACCACCATCCTTCTTAATCAACTGCGCCAAACGGTGGCCCAAACCTTATTCCAGCAACAAGTTAAAACTACCAGTACACCAGACAGCTGAGACATGTACAAGGTTATGCAATTTGGCCTTGGTGCGTGGGATATGGGGTGGGCTGAGGTGGTGGGCAGCTTTTTACGAAATGTCGACTGTGCAGACTGAGTCGGGTTTTCATGCTCAGAGATTTTCTGACAAAAAGACAATCTGAAAACTTGAAAAACAAACAATGGTATGTCTTTTCACAAAAGTAAAAACATCCTCACAGCAGAAGTTTCTGGTGGCAAATTTACACATGTTTTTCTCTCGGTTGCTGTGAGCAAGGCCCACATCGTTCTGATTCGGTCGAACAGGTTTGGAAAGAAGATTGGTGGCAAGTGGCAAGTTTAGACGTCATTCTGTCTGTTGCTATCAGTAAGGCACGCATCTTTGCCATTCGGTGGGACAGGCTTGGAAAGAGAAGTGTCTGTTTGTTCAAAAATTGTCCGGCGCACTGGTGGCCTGACTGGTGAATGCACACACAGTCACTGGCCAGGGTTCTGGTAAATTAGGCATGGCAAAGTATGAAAATGTGTGCTTCTCTAATGGCACCATATGACGGTAACAGAGTCATTCTCTCTCTCTCTCTCTCTCTCTCTCTCTCTCTCTCTCTCTCTCTCTCAACCGCACCCCTTTTTGGTAAGTTCAGTGTCCTGATACAAACTAGAAACAGAACAGATTGTTCACACTACTGCATCAAAACAATTCTTTGTTTTCACTTTACCTCTGAAAACTTCTCTCCCCCCCCCCTTCTGTCACTCCGATCTCCCCCACCCCCCTCTCTCCTCTCTTCCCCCCACTCCCCTCTCTCCTCTCTCTCCCCAACCCCCCTCTCTCTCTCCTCTCTCTCCACGCCCCCCCCCCCCAAGGCCTTTGCCCTTTGGTAACATTCGCAGTGAACTGATAGTGTAAAAAACAGAAAGAGTTGCTCATCGCTAGCACCAAAACAATTCTTCATTTTCACTTGACCTCTCTCAAAACCTCTCTCTCTCTCTCTCACACACACACACACACACACACACACGCACACCCGAGCGTATGAGACCCATTCCTCGGAATGGGGAACGCTCTGATGGCCAAGCATACTATAAAACACAGAATTTGAGATATACCCGCAGTCGCTGCCAGAGTACACCTGACTCTTGGTAGCATCTGGTGCGGATTATGCATCTGACCACTGAATCTGCAGACACACATGGGACTGGGGATTGATACGTTTTCCAAATTTACCTGTCTCCGTCAATAGTAACAAGGGGACATGGAGACAAAGCAAGATTGAAAATCGGGACAACAAAGCATTCCCTTGCTCGAATTTCCTTCCCCCGCCCTCCACCCCAAGTAAACAGTGATTTTGGCCGATGTGGCATCAACATGGGATCATGGTAGACTTCAGCAGCTGCAGTCTCAGTGATTGCACTTCTAATTCAGGCCTCCAATCCATGGCAGCGATAACAGGAAAAGCGATAACATGAATTTCCATTGCTTGCGAAATAATGCATGTATCGGGCATACGAGAGCCTGACACAACAATGGGAAATGATTGCACCCACAAAACAAGTCATAGTCTGCTGCAGGCAAACACAGACGGTGCTAGTGCAGAGCACTGTGACGAGCCCGCTGCACCTCGCCCTTTCCCTCCACCGTGACTACATAAGCAGTGTTTAAACTTTGAACTTCAGACCATTAGTACTTGTGAGAGTTTTCTCCAGTCCTGGACACGCGCGGCTCGCCAAACAAAAGACGAACCGACACAATTTTCTTTTGAGCCGAGAAAACCCAGCGCGTTAGCGGACCAGGGTGGAAACGAATGGCTGGGCAATGTTGTGCTGCACCCAACAGTGTTGGCTACGGTCCTGCTAATGCTGGTGGGTTTAATACAAGCAGTGTTGTGCTGCAGCCAACAGTGTTGGCTACGGTCCTGCTAATGCTTCCCTGGGGGCCACGGAGCTAACTCTATATGGTAGGGCACCAAGCATGCCCTACCAAGGATGCCCTGCCAAGCACATGCGCTACCAAGCACATGTCCACGCACATGTAGCCAATGGGCACTGGACCATGTGCCTTGCCAACTGAGATAGGCCACTTGGCCTGCCACTGTTATTGGCTAAATCCAAAAGGGGCATATTTGCAACTACTACTTACCACCTGAGCCCGATGACAAAACCAGTCAGCTTTTCTGAATGAATCTGACTGTGAAGGCATTCCGAAAAGGGCAGTGACATTGGGATCCTTCGGCCAAACGGAAGGACGTGTGTTGCTCCGCAGAATAGATATGAAGCCAGGACCACAAGGGTCTGTTTTTCATTATTAACAAAAAAAAAAAAGGAAAGAAGTGTGGCAACATACTTTTCTCGGGCCTTCCGGCTAAAAGTAAGATCAAGTGCCGTATTTGATCCGCGTTTCATCAGGGACAAAAAAAAAAAAGATGCTGTGGCTACTCCCTCGTTGTCATCGCACTCCAAACTTTGTAGGCAGCGTAAGTTTTCTTTCCTTCTGTGCTCAGTTATGTAATCAATCGCGATCTCATCTTACTTTGCGTTCGTGGATGTGCAGAGTCCTACAGCGTCTGGTTTTCACCACTGGCAGGCTGACACGACTCATCTGATCTTTTGCACATACCTTTCCTGGTACAGATACGGGAAATAAAAAAGAAGAGACGCTATATTGGTTAAAAAAGAAAACACAAATCGGAACGGAAGTTTCAGTTCTTCGGGACATACATTCACATTGGACCGATACAGAGAAAGAAGATTAGCATGGCACCTACGCAAGGATATGACACACATAAATCGAGACCGCAAGTTTGACAAAGCACAAGACAAGCAACCTCCAGCGGACAATCGAAAAGACCAGGGTACATGCGAAATCAGAGAGTGGTTCTTTTACCGATCGTACACTACAGTCTCACTCCAAGAAGAACACAAGGGCATTGTAGCTGCATTTGTGCAAACACACACCCAATTGACCACCTTTCATTCCAGAAAAAAAGCAATAATGACTATAGTACTACACGTCTATTCACGAATTTCGGGGGAAGACCGTAGGCCAGTGTTAGCAGACAAACCGAGTACAGAAATAAGTAGCAAACGCACCCAAAGGACAAATATACAGCAAAGTGGAAGAAAAAGGGATTGCCAGAATACCGCCACGACAGACAAGCAGGGTCCACCAGCACTCATCGTGTGAATGTAAAGGACACAAGATCATTTGGAATGTGCTCACGAAAGAGTACCCTGGAAAGGGGTTGGGTTGGGAAAAGAAAGTGTGTCCTCAATTTCATGTCAGCACAATCTCAATACAGGAAGCTGCAGTACTTAACCATGACAATCTCTTCCTTTTCTTCTCCCTGTAGCAGAATTCTTGACATTATATAGTATACGTATTACATGAGGATAAGAGTAGTTCCTGGTGGATCCAGGAGCAACTACACGTCCTCTGTGCTAGTTGCAGGGTAGCCTTCCTGCCCGGTATGCTTAAGCTCTCAATTGAACGAGGCTGAGGCCCAGGTCTTACTACATGGCTAATGCCATTCCCATGGCGATACCTCTCTCTCTCTCTCTCTCTCTCTCTCTCTCTCTCTCTCTCTCTCTCTCTCACACACACACACACACACACACATAGACACTTCCCCTGCTTCCAAAAAAACACCAGCACATGCTGCACAAGAAACGCTGTTGAATCACAGAACGAGAGACGAGCCACAAAAGCAAACACGATAACAAACACAGAATTGAAAACTTTTACTGCCATCAAAACAGACAGACCTTCAAAAGCCTAAAAGATCAACAGGAAAACTTGCACCAGGACTTCTTCAACACATAAAGAACTTCAACCCAAAAAAATGATCTCGTGGAAGTCTGACAATGCAAAGAATTGTGCGGGCAACAGGAACAAATCGAAGTGCTCAGCAATGTGAATGAGCAACCAAAAGCACACAAAGTGAGGAGGAACCAAAGTTCAGTGCACAACAAGAAAAACAGCTCTGCTTGCTCATAACATGCTTCTGTGCCAACCTCATAACGCAATCACCCCCCCCGCCACAACAGCAGCAGAGGACCCAATCCCGTTAGCATCGCAGGCACCGCACTATGACCCCGCTCCGTGGGCATCAAAGGTGCTGCAGCATTACAGCCCTACTCTGCTAGCACCGGAGGGGGGCTGCAACCCGCCCCCATAAGCACCGGCTTAGCAGACTGCATTTACTCCTCTCATCGACAGAGCGAGTGCCAGAACGAGGGGAGCCAAAAGGGTGGGGTGAAAGCGAACAACAGGAAGGGATATGGAGGAGAGTGGGGAAAGAGGGGCAGATGAGCGGGAGAAGGCACAGGCTCCCTTGTTGACAACAACACATGCCGCGAAGCGGGCAGCATCACTGCTTCTTAAACTTTCGCCCATTGATGCATATGGGATATGCCTGCCACAACCAAACCAATAAGGAGAGGAAGGAAAAGGGGGGATGAGGGGGAAGGGCGGGGGGAAGGAGAAAGCGGGAAGGGCTGCCTAGTTGCCAACCAATTATTACCATCAAGCAGCACACATAACTGTTTTCTCCCATTCACGAATACGAGGTCTGCATGGAGTAACCAACCAGAGGAGGAGACCTGCCATTCTACGCATGCACCATTTAGAATCGTAAGAAATGAGGAAGGGCAATACACAAAGGCATCATGAGTTCAGGCACACCAAGGCCAAGCGAAGAGGCCAACCCTCTTTCTTACACCCTCTTCGACCCAAGGAGAAACACAAATCCGTGCGCACAAACCTCTTTCCGGATATACCACATTTCCTCCCTTCAATAACACAACGTTTACCTGCACAGAGTGATGACCATTGTCACAGTTCAATGTCAGCGGTGCGAGGACGGGGCAGAAAGTAGATCTCTCAAAACAGACTGACATAAGACCAAAGAACCGATGCACGAAACGCTACTAAGCGATGTGATCACACCACATCCGATGATCCATACAAGGAGAGTTACAAAAGCACAAGGGGTGGAGAGACGACTTCATGCCCTCTCGCCCAAGGTTCCCCGACTATCGAGTGAAATGTGTAAGTAATATGCCATATACATGCATGCATGGCGCTCACACCTGTCATCCGCTACCGCGCTCAACTAAAAGATGACTATTTTTTGCTCAACCATACGGAGAGCTATCCTCCAGATCCCCAAGACCCTGTTCAGCCTCAGCTGCTCGAGAAAAAAACACGGCGATGCGTGAGTACGACAGACAGCTGAGAGCGAAATATCACAGGCAAACCAAACCACACACAATGAAACAGTACAACAAAGCATCACGCCACAGTGCAATCGAGAGCTTGTGCTGTCTGATCAGTCCTCACAAAAAGACATGAGGCAGAAAATGCTGCAGAATCCTGTTTCATCCTCGTGGTGCGGGAGGTTGTTGAGAGAGCACATGCACAGAAAAAGAGCACACTGTCACTTCCTGTCATGAGCTACGCATTTGATCACAGACAGAAAAAGAGAAAAGATTCATGCACATTGAGCCATGCACATCCAAGTTCAAGTTACACCCTCTGCTTCATGTACCACAGCGCTTCATAAACCACCAGTTTGTTTCCTCGCTGTTTTTTTTCCCCGATAGCGCATGCCAGGGCTCAGCCTAACAAAGCTCTTTGGCAGGGGCCACCAGCCAAAAAGAAGAGAAGAAGAGAATCTGTGTCGCGCCGGATCATTTTTCTTTTTGGCTCGCAGCACAAATCTGCCTCGGGAAAAAGAGGCCCAGAAGTACTGGTGGATTTGACATACCAGCACCCTCCCATCAGAAATTCCAACTACCCCCTCTGGAATATTTTATACAGCACAGCCAAAAGGTGGCAGGCGCGGTTCATTCCCAATTCAAAATAATCTGGCTCCAACTTCTTGGAGTCCCCAAAGCCAGGCTGGTGGAGACTTACCCAAAATAGAAACAACAGCGTGCAGGCCGGTGGAACCTTACCCAAAATAGAAACAACAGCGTGTCAAGTCCTCGCCTGACCTGGCACCGTGGAGTTGTGGGTTCTTTTCTAACAAGTATGGCAAAGCGAGTTCGCACAAAAAAAAAATCACCTAGACCTAGGTGCACACGAGGTTGGCAAACTCCTTAAACCACCAGTACTTGGGCGACGCCTTAGCGTTAACGCTACGAGAATTTCGCTACCGGCGGGCCGTCGATAAATCGTATCGACAGCCCGCGCCGCTTCAAAAAAGGTGCGGCCGGCGCGGCGCGCAGTGCCCAAGTACTGGTGGTTTAAACGATTAAACCACCACTACCTTTCCAAGCTGTAGTCCCATTTGGGAAAATGACCTCACCCGAAAAGATCGGGAGTCAGAGTAGGATTGGCACGAAAGGAAAAAAAGAAAAAAAGATTGGGACCCTGTGGACCCCCGGGTGAAAAAAAAAAAAAAAAAAAAAAAAAAAAAAACACTCAGAACTTTGAATCCATCGGCGTAGGGGAAGGCCCTCACAGAGGTGGAAGTCACACCAGTGCTTCGAGGAATGTATCTGGCCAGTATGTGGGGAACGTGATTGCTGTCGAATCTGTTTCTGCTTTTATTGTTTTCCTTTCCTTCCCGTGCCCTGCCAGAGAGGCAAGGGCGGATTCCACGCAGGGCAGCTAACTGCCTAGCTCATGTTATACTCACAAGAGTGCTTTGGCATATCCTGTATCGGACAGTGATCACAGCATCAGGGAAGGTCTTTTTTTTTTTGTTCGTCATTTGTTTTCGAAGGCCCTCACGGAGGTGGAAGCTGTGATTGCAGATGTTTTTTTTTTTCTATTCTTCTTGTTTTCGTTGCCTTCTTTTCTTCTTCTTCTTCTTTTCGTTGCCTTTTTTCTTTTTCTTTTTCTTTTTCTTGTTTTCGTTGCCTTTTTGTGCCCTGCCAGCCAAAGGGCAGGGCGGATGCCACGCAGGGTAGCTAACTGCCACGCTCATGCTACACTCACACGAGTACTGTATTAAACTCCTGTATCGGTCGTGATTACAGCAAAAGGGAAGTTGTTTCTCTTCTTCTTCATTGTTTTCATCCGACAGACCCCCTCACTGAGGGCACAATCTCACCATCACCTCCTAGAAGGAAGTATCTGATGGCTGTCACGGCGTTATTGAAGTTTCTTTTTTTTCTTCTTATTCTTTTCTCTTCTTCTTCTTCTTTTTTTTTATGTAACGGCCGTGAGCACCTGGGCTCAGCAAAACTCGGTGCACAGTGAAACTCAGGTTCGGCAAAAACAGGATCGGAGGTAGTGGTGGTCTTACTGATGGTTAAAGTGAACCAAAAATTAAATGAGAGAGGGAAGAAAAGGCATGCATACAGTCCATGCCTCAGGATGCCCCCGTGATGTGATATGTTTGCAGCCTGATGGCCGAATTAACACTCACACAGAAAAAAGGGTCAGCCATCAGAGGGGCGAGTTACAGGGGTGTTCTGTCTGCCTTGTTTCAAACTTTTTCGGAAACCAGTTGGGATTGTGTGATGACGGAGAGCTGGGCACATCTTGGCATCTCTCTCTCTCTCTCTCTTGCCCGCGCACACACACAACAGCTATCCTCGTTTTTGTTACACATTGTCGTGCACATCTT